CTCAAAAATATAGAAGAAAATGTAGTGTACCTAATCTTTGTTATTGGATTTGATTTTGCAGTTGGCTAGGGAGAGGATGGTTCAATTGAAACTTCCGGTAGCAGAGTCTGTAAGGCACGGTACATTTGCTTGACATTATTTGACACGGTACATTTGGTTGACATTATTTTTCACTAGGATTCCATTAATTAACAAGTAATGCCAACTGTTAATGATACTTTGTCATTATTTTACACCTAAGAGCGATCCATATCTATTTGCATGGAGCTCCATTTGTTTGTGTAGGGCCGAGCTTGTTCATCATCGCACTTGCGTCTTGGTGAGCAATTTGCAGTTTTCACTTCTTCTCTTTCTAGTTTCATGAAACTTGTATTGTTATTAACTTATTATTATTGCCTTCGTTTTGTAAAGCAAGTTACACATACAACAACAACAACAATAATAATAATAAATGAAAATACGAAATCTCAGTACGTAGGAAAGGCTTTTATTCATGAAATTGTGAATCATAGTCGACTTTTCCTACCTCTTCTCAGTTTGTAATAATTATACATTAATACAAACCGTTGATATTTTGATTGTAGAACATCCATTACAAAAATAAATAAACTAAGCTGGACTAAACCTGAACCATATACAAAATGCGGCCAAGTCAGATCCATGACAGGCAAAAGATGCAAGATCCGCAAATAAGTCGTCAATACATTATACCATACAAGGTCATGTAAGGCCTTTTAATATTTTTCACATGAGACGAGGCATCTTCTGAACATCAAGGCAGCTCTACATTAATGTATACATTTCTAGGTCTATATATCTATATCTATCTATCGATTCTAAGATTATTACACAGATAGCCGAGTTCGGGCCTTGCATCCATCCAAGTAGTGAATCTCATCTCACTTGCTGAAGTGCTGTACAGATATGATCTAAACGCGATGAGGAAGAAGTATCGCCTGCACACACACACACACACAGAGAGAGAGAGAAAAGTTTAAGAAAAAAATGTGACAGAACAAAAAACAGTGGCTAACTTGTGATAAAATAAACTGCATGTCCTTAAATAAACTACAGTTGGTAGGGCAGGGTATAGCGAAGGTCATGTTGTTTGAGAATAGAATATTGACTAGCATATGGGAAACAGACAGAAAACAACATCATGCTCCGAGGTATGTATTAAATATTTTGACTATTCCAACACGAAACCAACCTTAAAGCCTTAATACCCATGTCCTCAAGGTAAGCTCGATGATCATCGTTACCATTAGGAAGATTTTCAAGTTCCTTGCTGTAGTAAAGAATATCATCTCTCAGATGTCCAGCCCCAGCACACCTTTAAAGAAAACAATAAATAAATATAATTGGAAAAAATTGAAGAATAGATAAAAGGACAATACGAAAAAGAAGTCTTTTATTTTTCTTAAATATTTCAATTTGTATTATAGCTTTTTTATACTTCTTTACAGCCAAGAAATGATATATTTGTCAGTTGACTACTGACCAAAATCTGACCGTTTTAAACTTTATAAGATTTACCTTATTCGAAAACTCATCCTTTCCAATGAAACATTCTAATTAAAAACGGATACTTGATCATTAAAAAACTAGGAGCGAAGTTCTTCCAGTGCACAAGTGTCTCCAACCTTTGTTGATCAGTATTACAATTCGATTTCAAAATTAATTGCTTATTGAGATGGAATCTAGCAACTTTTGACACAAAACCAGTAGGGAGGTAATAAAATCCCTAATATAAAAGATACTTTAATATAATCGATAAAAAAATATCAAAATAACATCATAGAATATATGACAGACTTCAAGTTAGTTTGATTTGCCTGCTATTGTTAAGTACTAGTGCTGCCCCGTTAGTGCATGGAGAGAAATCAAATATATTATCACGTCCGTCTATGTATGACCATAGTTTTTTAAGATTCTTACATTTTGATCTATTCATAGCATGAAATTATCCTATTGCCTATAGCAAGCATCAGTTAGAGAAACATGTCTGTCATAAAGTTAATAATAGTTTACCTGTCTATAACAAAGTCAACATCTGCTTTGCTTTCAGGACCATGGACAAGAACTCGTATTAGGCTTAGTATGTCCCTGTAGTCGCCCATTTTGCGTGCTTCATTATCAGAATTCAAAAGTTCTCCACAGGAAGGAATCCCGACAATCCGTGATGATGATTTTAATGCTGCCTCTGCTTCAAGTCTTATACAAACAATAGCCATAGCATATGAAACACCTCCAAATCCCGTGTGTGATACAAAAAGATATGACCCTGCAGAGCTGTTAAGAGAAACAGTGTTTTAGTTTCATGACATGGCTAAAGGAAAATGGAAGGATGTCAGAAACATAAACGTATCTCAAGTACTCCATCCACCCCATAAAGATAGATCCGTTTACTTTTGCAAACAGTTCAATAAAAACATCAATCATTGTTGTTGGGAAGGTAAAAGGTAAAGAGAATTTTCAAGCACTTACTCATCCTTACAGTATTGTATGGAATCAACATCTGAAGCCAGAGCTTCTCTCTCTCTCGTTATCGGTATCCTTTGATATGCTATATTGTATCCTTCATGCTTCAAAGCTGTGTATACCTCTGCAGGTGTTTTAACATCATCCACAAATATATTCTCCCAGTACCCAACGACACTGGCCTGTTTTAAAGCAGGGTTAAATTCTTCACGGTGCAAAAGCATCCTACCACCAGATTTTCTAATCTCAGATATTATATCTTCTTTCAAACGTGCTTCCATGTGTTCCACCTGTAAAATGAAGTAAAATTACAAATTTGAGATCCATTCCAATTTATCAGCAGTTTCTAACAACATTTTGCTATGATGGCCTACCACTGGACCAGTGATTCCTATGTGCTTGAGAGTATCAACAGGTTTATTCAGTTCCCTAAGAACAAAAGGAGTGTTGTTGATGTAAACAACAGCTTCTTCTCTTAGATCTGTTAAAACTACTCTCTGAGGAGCACTTCCTTCTGCTGTAGGCTTGGCACCTAAATACGCTAGCATCTCTTCTGCACCGGCAATTGTTGGAGTTGCCATGCTATATACAGGATATCCATCCACCTTAAATGAGAAATCTCAGAATGAGGTATCCTTTCATTTAATGAGAGAAAAGCAAGCTTAAAAAGCCTTGAATAAATTTAGTTGCGAAAGCTTAGGCCAATATAGTGAAATAAATCACATTCCATAAAGTGGTTATATTGTAGCCAAAATCATAAGAAAGATCTACTCAGCTAATAGTTGATACAACCTGTTTTACTTAATTACTCAAATATATTGTTTTAAGCAAATTAGAAAAAAATAAGTTAGAGAATCCAGATCTTTATTGGGTTTAGCAGTACTCATAAGATGTATAAAAAGCAATATGCAACTTTGCAGATACAAACTATCCTGATACTCAAGGTTATCACATATCTGTTTTTGAAAACCACGTAAACATGATAAAATTACAAAGATGAATTTTGTCATATACCTCATGCCTCCAGTTTATTATAAATTTGACCTCAGGTTACCTTGTAGACATGTGGTGCACCGTGGATTTGTATGTGGCTAGAGGTTTTTTGACCAGGAAAGAAATACATCTTCAGTATTGAACCTTTACCCAAAACTGAACCATTACGGTCCTTCACAATTGCCTCCATGACAGCATCTCCATGTTGAGATTCATGGGGAGCTCTCAATTCCTCCTGTATTCAAAAACCTTACAATCAATACAAAAATAAAGAAAATAACATGCAACCTTGAGAGGCACTGTGGTGAAAGAACAATTACAGGGATGGTAAGGAATCGCCCAGGTCTTAGTCGGATGGACCATTTCATAGCTTGAACTTCTGGTCTCTGATGTAACCAATTCTTAAAGGTCATTTTTGACTGTCCATGTCCGCAGAACCCATCAAAAGCTTCGCTTCCTAGATACGCTGCAAAAGCAATCAAACGGAAGTAACGCTCCAAATATTCAGCACCACGATTTAACGCCACTCTTCTTTCTCTAGGCTCCACATCCTGCTGATTAAACAACTTTCTGTACTGCAAGACAGCTTGGCGGATGTTCTGCAAGGCTGAACATCGATCTATAATAGAATCTAATGCTTCTCGGCATTCAACCCCATTGTCAAATAATCGTGTAATCTTCCATAGCAGTAGGATGTCATTAATGCCGAAGGAATGACCCATGTCTTGTCCTGTCCTAATTTTATCAGGATTAGACACCAATGTGGATATCTGATCTTCCCTTTCATCAACACTTTGACTTCTCAATTTTAATTGAAACGAGTCATCAACAAACAGTCTAATAGGCCTTCCATAATCTATTCGGAGTTTTAGAAGGCATGCGATAACAGTACCTGTTGTTGTCCTTCCAATTCCCATCTGTAAAACTCCACACAATAAGGAACCAGCACAAGTAGCACCCACATTGCAATAAGAAACAAAAACTAAAAAATAAAAGTGGGAAGGACTGATCCATGCAACTGGTGAGTCAATCTTGATACAATAATTACCTGGCAGTTGAAAACAAAAGCCGTGTCCTTAGAAGCGGATACAATGTTCACGGCCAACGTGTCAAAATCAGACCCTTTTGGAGCTTTTCCATCAGTTATCGGGACACGAGCATATTTGATGGGAAAACCATCAGCTTCAAAGCACTGGAATACCTCCCGTGGAGTCTGTACAGAATCCAACGTCACATGCTCCCAAGCATCTGATATTTGGCCTCCATCATTTTCATGGATGACCATTATAGCCCCTTCATATCGTTCAGCTTCCCGCAAAATATCATCTTTAAGCCTAGCTTCCATTCGTTCAACTCTTTCACAATCAATCCCCTATGGACAGATATTCTAGCACATTAGTTTCTAGAAAAAAGTATTTAGTTAGAGTGCCCTCGTATCCTCTTTTTATTGATAATTAAACATCCAGTGCCATCAGAAGCATAGAATACTGTGATTGTAGAACAATTGAACTTAAAATTTTAAATAATATGTAGGTTTTAATGTTACAGAACATTTATGAGAGCATACAAATGGCCGACTTGATTATATTTTTGCTGAAAATGTTTATTATTTTAACAAAACAAAATGGAAATTTAAAGTTCTGACAAAGGACATAAAAAAAATATTTGGAGCAATAGCTCAGGTAATACCGGTTTGAAAATAGAACTAACAAGTACTACAATGTAGTTGGGCGCTCAATTTTATCGGCTACTTGCAGACTGGGAGCTATTCAAGTTTTGCAGCTCAAGCTTCAGTCATCACTTCAAGCAATTTTATTTATATGAAAAATGAAGTAAAAAGTTCATAAGCTAAAAAACATGCATTATGTCATGGATTAATTGTATTCTGGTTAAAAAATTAGGACATAATGCTATACCGTGTATTCCAGCATATTTTTATATGGTCTTTCAACTTCACGAAGTACGAAAGGCTTTCCATTTATGTAAACAACAGGTTCTTCTCTCATATTGTGCCAGAATACTGGACGGCCACCTTTCGAGCTTCCAATCCTTTGGATGACCAATCGAATTCCATCAACTGTGGGAATAGCAACGCCGTACACTGGAAATCCAGGTATTTCCCGGAAATTTGGAGCACCCTCTACTCTTTCTGGTAACCCAGGATGTTGACAACCAGGACAATGGTCACTTTTGAGAACAGTTTGACTTCCCAGAACCTCTCCGTTCCTTAAGGCAGCAACTTGACTCATCTCTAATGGGTGGCCATCAGCAGATTCAGCATTAGCTAGAGATGGTTTTATATTGGCATAACCAAGTGCCCCCATTGGATCTCTTCGCAGCAATCTGCAGATTCGTCACTATCAGCTAACACATCATTTTGACCTCTAATGAATCATTTTCTGTTGTTGCTATATGAACATGCTATGGAATGTTTGCACTTGCATTAGAAAAGCCTAATGTTCATCTCAATCCAGGTCGCTAAGAAATGTGATCCACGACATCATTTTGCGTTTAACTCGTCCCAAATGACTCAACAAATGTTATGACATTCAAAATTTAGCTACAGCCTATAGCATCCCTGTTAATGTACCAGCCACCTTCTTCATCAATACGGTATGCACCATAGCATTCTCAACCTTGAGCAAGACCATATCGAAAAGTACATCTAGGATATTTCTTTTACTCTGTGGAATTATCATCTATTCTGAAATCCTTTAGACTTAATATTTACGGACCCGAAATCTCAAGTGTTACTCTTGCAGACAGACTGAAATTCATTAGTCCTACGCCATTTCATTATATACGATGAACATACTATAAGTTCCAATAATCCATTATTATGATAGTAATTATAGTGTCTTGCAACGACATAGTTAATCTTTCACAACATCAAAGCAGATTAATAAGGACATAGAATGTGATGAACCTAGAAAAGTCAAAGTTCAGGCGATTGCATTGCCAAAGAACATTAAATTTCTTGCTGATATAATATTTAGGCGATAATGAGGAGATTTAGCAGGTAAAGAATTAGGAAAATCTACAAATTAAATCGCTTGATTGATAGACCTCATAAGTCATAACATAACACTGAATCTAAGGGTTCCATTGTTACCTTCGAAGTATACTATAAAGCTCAGGTCTAGCTCTCATCCACTCGGTGAAACTGCATTGACCAGGAGATATAGGAAAAAGAGTTTCTCTTTCCATGTGGAGGTATACAGAAAAACAAATGAGGAAATAATATCTCTCCAAGTACTCCACAAAAAAGGAAAGAGAAGCTTCCCTCTTCATTTCGTCATCTTGACAGAGAATACTGCTCCGATAATGAGCAATAGCTTCTCGTAGATTCTATAAACAAGACCACAAAAAGATAATATATTAAAATCTAAAACAAGAGGCAGTTGCTATCTCAAATATTTGTTCCACCTAGAACTGAAGGAAAAAACGCAATATATATATATATATATATATATATATATATATTATAGAGAGAGAGACCAATACCTGCATAGATGCACATTTGTCGATGACTTCATCAACCTGTCTTTTGCCTTCAACGCCGCCCTATAGGCATATCAAAATTCAACATAAATTCACAAAAATAATAAAGAACAAAACCCAAAAAATGCAAGAAAATAAAAAATATATATAAGAAAAGAAAAGGATCATTTACCGGACTAAGTAGAAACAGGGTATTATCAGTACCTCTAAAACTCGAATTAGGCTCCTGATAACTGCATATTCTCCTCTACGGATAGATTCCTCTGAATCTGGTAAGTCCGAAGTAATGCTAGAACTGCAACCAGAAACTTTACCCATGGAGTTGTTTCTTGGAATACCTAAATATGAAAATCAGAATACGAAGCATTCAAATTTGCATACTACAGAAAGAGATTCAGAGACCTTCCAGCAAATATTATTGAATGCGTGGAGAGGATTTTGCATCCACTACTCCCTAGGACTAAGCTACACACTGTTTAAAAGTGTATCATGTTAACTTCTTCGAACAGCAACGAAGCAAGCAGTAGGTAGCAAGGCTAAGGGACAAAACATGACGGAACCCCAGCATTTAACACAGCATGGTAATAACATTTTTTACAGTGTAATAATAAAAACAAATCAAATGCTGACAAAAGTAAGGTGTGTTAAATATTGCCACACACTAAAAATCAGAAGCATAGTCGATTATGAAACTCATTTAATAGTACTCAATCCACCATTTTTTTGTTAAGACTTAAAACTTATATGTTAATCACAAAAATTCAATGTAGTTTCTATGAAATACACCATAGCAGATGCTTTCTATTACATTATAAATAACACACATTCATTGAAAAACAGAAAGAGAAACTTCCCTTTTGGGATTTGATGATATCAAGTTCTCTCATCCAGCTTCAAGTAGCAAGTAATACACGTTTTATGCTGTGATACTTAGAGTGTGCTCAATAAATCTTTTCCGTCCATGATTTACAGGTTAAACTCGTAAAGTCAACAATTAATATATAGTAGTGGGTCCAGGGTTATACTTCATCTAGGGCAAGTCATTGATGTCTAGCTTTGACACTACGTTGCCTGTCTGTTCTTTGTCCATCCATCCGCCCATTCGTCCATCTATCTATAGGGTATGGATTTCGTAGAAATCATTCTTAATGTAGGAACTAGGACCTCGATGAAAATACATTTAAACTACTGCTACTATAGCAATGTACAATATTATTTTAGTAGTGTGATCACTACATATATAATAACAATATGCTGTACGCATAATGTATTTTAGCACTCATATATTATAGATGTACATACAACATTTTTAGACATGTATAAAACAACTTCTAACAGCTTTCCTACTTCCTATGTGAAAAATTAGTTCATATTTGATCTGTTACCTATATTTATATAAAAGGCAACTCTAGACTTACATTTGGAAATAATTGTCCGGCCCCAAAATTTTGGCTAGGCTATCTTTGAAATATACAACATTAAGATCACATGGTTGATTTCAAGTTGAAGACTAGAGCTAGGGCTAGGGGTTGGAGACCCAGAAAAAAATAGGTTTATTCTTTGGTTCATTTTAAATGGTTTAAAAGACAAAAACTCAATTTCTACATGGTATTGTTGTTTTATTTTGCAGCTGCGATCATACAAACACATTACATACATACCCTTTCTGTGTGTGAATTTGTGGTTCAAATACCCAATTGGTCAGTTCTCACGTAGGTAGGACTGAAAATTCTGTTTCACTCATCAATGAAATGAATACAAAAATAACCAAATAGTATATATCAAATTGTAAGTACGACATTTTCTAAAATTGCTCATGATTCCCTAAGTATGGTGCAAGATATCCTTTGGTAACTATTCCATAGGTGCATCTTGCAAAAAATGATTTGGTGGAGTATGAAAGTTACTCAAAGAAATGCGAGTTCAACATTAAATCAGTTTGCACAAGCTAAAAAGTAGGCAAATATAAAATTGAATCTTATTTTCTAAACTTGCATACACCTTCCAGTTAGTTTGGCCCATTACCGGTGCACATTAATTTAGGACCATGTATTAGAATTGAGAAGTGGAAAGAAATGACGGGGTAATCAACTAGAGCGGTCAAATAGTCCTCAAATGTGCCTAATTTACAGTACGAAATTAAAGATACATCAATATTGTTAATTATTATAGAACTAAAATATTACAAATTGAGTATAGTCATGTAGTTCAGCACGTATTAAGAGTTTCTTCAATTTGATAAAAAATTATCTTCATTAAGGAAAAAATCTCTGTAACGATGCTTAGAGTAACTTAATGCTTTAGTTTTTTATTTCCTTCAAATTTTTACTATATATACAAGACTAACTCTTCCAACTATTATACACGGTAAATTGATAGTTTAATTGCAGTGTTATCAAATATAAAACTTCCGCCATGCGAGTTCTGCCTAACCACCATATAAATTTGTGAAGGATGGCTGTAATGACGGCACCACATGCCACCATGGTGGCCGCTATAGCGAAATTTCAACCTATCACCATTTTTACTCTTATCTGCCATTGGTAACATTGTTTACTGATAAACATAAATTATTATAGACTTCCTATTGACTTCCTATTGATTGTAAAGGCAAGCCCAAAGATAAAAGGCTAAAGGATAAGCAAAGTGAAAACTTAGGCCCCATACAATGGGATGGTTGTTTGCATGTGCATGACCTTATGTGGTGGTATGGTATCACACTGAAGTATTAAATTTAGCATTAGCTTGAGGAATTTTGAATCAAAATGGAAAATCCACCTTCATAGGATCCGCTATTGAATTCATACACACTAATAATAATAATAATGAGGAGCGAACCTACATACTTAAATCATTGCATTCATTTGGATTGCTAGGTTTCTAACTAAAATATTGAAGAAAAAAATTACAATAAGAGTCAAATATAGGAAACAAATCAAAAACTAATATGGAATACCTTAATCTATAATATCTTCACGCACTTGATAAGAACGCATAGAAACTTTAGGCTACCAAAGTAAGCTTAAATTTCATAAAATTTCAAACAAGCAGCAAGAAGGACAAAATACATTAATAATTTAATATGCACAAAGAATGATGAAGAATATCAAACAGATACTCAATCCGATCAAGTGTAATGTTGCCGAGAACCAACAGAAGTAACAATTCTGAACAATTTCTTCCATCCCATGTATCCAAAGCTACAGGATAAGTGAAAGTAGAGATGCATCTGGAAGCATAATAAACTATGTCAAACAATATATATCACCTGAAGCTCCAATGCGATGAAGATAAATCAGTGTTGCAATCACCATTCCCGTGGTCGTTCGTCCTCGCCCCATTTGGCAATTAAATACGATCTCTGTTCTTACACTAGCTTGAGAAATTTTATGAACCTAAAAGGTAGTGGATATAGGAGAGCAATGAACATTGATATCTCATAATGTTTTAACGGAGCAGCAATATAAAGCTGTTTAAGGTATAGAAATCTCCAAAAATTGGTGTAACGTTAGCAACACCAAACAATATAACTACTGTACATTAATTAGCTTTATCACAATGTTGATGCATTAGAAATTCCGGGTAAAAAATTAGAGTCAAAACTATTGTACATTAATTAGCTTAATGATCCCTCCATATTATGTTGGATCATTGTCCTCGAGAGGCAACATTCATGTTGTACTTGTGGGTCCCATACCCAACATTCCAAATAATTGCTCATGAATGCCATCTTAGAGGTTAGAAGTTTATAGCCATTTTGATCTACTTTTTTTTTTTTTTAGTGGTGCTTCTGGTTTCAAACGGAATGGCCTGGGGAACTAGGCTGCATTACGTTCATAAGATTCGAAAGACTCTGTGAGACATGTGGCTTTGAAGTAAAATGGCATTCAAAACAGGCAATAAAGACCTAGAAATTCCGACGTATGGGGAAGGACAATGATTATTAAAGGTGAATAAACAGATGTATCATAATATTACATTAAGCTTGGTCTATATTGGATACTAACCAGAACATCAAAGTCCTGTTCTTTCGGAGACTTCTCATCTGTTATGGGAACACGTTCATAATCGACAAGGAACTGATGCGTCAACTCCTCGTATACCTAGCTCGGAGAAGAAAGAAAGTATATAAGTAATCAATTCAAATTCCTTCATCATCATTTAGTATGTACATACATCTAGTGGTGTTTTGACAGAATCATGTGTAACTGGTTCCCACTGATCCACCATCTGACCATCTGGTAGTTCATCAGTTACGAGGATTTTATTTGCATATCTGTTGATCAGATGTTGTGAGTTGTCACTTGTGAGAATGAATTTACAACAAAAAAAAGTGGAAGTAACTAAACCAATCCATCTAAATAAATAATGAGTCAAGGAACAGTAGCGTACCGAGCAGCTTCTATGAGGACATCTTCTTTCAATCGATCTTCCATTTGCTCTACCCTGATCCTGTTAATACCCTACTTTTATTTGAAAAATAAACACCAATGATGATGCTGTCTATAGAAACTCTTGATCAAACGATAAAATCAGATTTAAAGTTGATCATATGAAGGAAACATACGATAATAAAGCCAAAGCTCAAGCTATAACGAGTTACATCAGTTTAAAAATGTCAGCTTGGAACAAATAGGAAGCTGATGGGATTTTTTTTCACTCATAACACCTTAGTATGGGCATGGTGCAAACAGAGTTGGGTAAAGAATACAAAACCAAATAAATAAATAAATAAATAAAACAACTCACAGGCTGTGAAGTTTTCCTTACAGAAGAATTCTAATGTATTTAAAGTATTATTGCAACAAAGTGACGATGCCATCTTCTCTGGTTATGCACAACGTTTGCAGATAATGTTTTAAACATAGAAATTAAACCTTCTGCTGCTGTTTTTGTAAAAGATTTGAAGCTGCCAGAAACCAGTTTATTTTGACAAGCAGAGAAAACAATGATGAGAGGAGATTGGGGAGCTGGGGGTGCGGTGGAGTGGAATGTATACCAGAAATAGCAATATTGAAGAATTGAAAAAAAAAAATACTCAATTAGGACAGCATAACGAAATTCTATCCACAACCAAACCCCTAGTTACGTAAAAAACAATGTTCAAATATGTCAACAGAAACTGGACAACAAAGAATTGGTCCTTTATCCATTTCTTTTTTATTACTGGTAACACTACACACCATTTACACCAATCTAGATTTGATTTCATTAATTTACAGTGTCCTACATCAAGAAATTGCCCTAGTATTCACTTCAATCCATATCTAGTACTAGAACAAAACCAAACAATAAAGTGGTCATACTCTTCAGAACTGGAAGAATTTACACAAGACAGCAATAGAAAGCAAGAAGTCAGAGCATTTCGCACCGTATACTCAAGATTTGAGAATGGCTGCTCCACATCACGCAGAACAAAAGGCCGACTGTTAATATAAATCACCTGTTTATTTATACAAGAACTAATCAAATGAAACGATATAGATAAACATCAAAGTTACTCTGGAAAAAGGGGCAACCAACTTGATCAATAAAAAAACAAGTGTGGCATACCAACTAGCTGGTATTAAGCATGCAAAGAAAGTAAGAAACACAACTTCAAAGTTTTCATGGTCACTCTTCCACCGAGAAAAAACCTTTCTATTGAGAAAATCAGGTTGCCTTTCTTTTTTGTTTTTTTTTTTTTTCATTTTGGTTTTTGCATTTGTAAATTTTCACAATCACTCTTCAACCAAATTTCAAGTTTCTCCTTTATACTTTCTAATAAAACTTATAGAATCATACATTAATGTTTTGTTAATCAATAGCTCAATAGAACAAAACAAGTATTAATACTAATCATTTTATTAACAAATAATGGTGCAACATCATCTCCTGGCAACATGTCAATTACATATTTTTTCCATCTTGTATCTCAAAATTCAGCCAAAATGAAACTCATTTTATTTATTGTACTCACTGGTATTGATATTTTATATTGCATGAAATATCATTTGGTAACGATATGGACATAGTAAATATTCAAGCCAAGGCTTTAAGCGAAGATAAAAGACAAATGGGCTAAAAAGTAAGATTACAACTGATACTACTTTTTATTCATATAGAAGTATAATCTATCTTGACCATCAACTTCACAGAAACTACTGTTGCTCACTATCAACCTCGACTGATACTACTTTTTATTCATATAGAAGTATAATCTATCTTGACCATCAATTTCACAGAAACTACTGTTGCTCACTATCAACCTCGAAAACACTGCACGTTCCTTTTCAAAATTTTAGCAACTTATTATATCTCAAAAAGCTTTTAGTGTTGTGAAATTTGCTGCAACCTATACAGTATGCATTGCTTTATTTTTAATTATCAAATACATATATGATGACATCTCAAAGTAGACATCTATGCTTTATTCATAAAAATAGTTAGAGGCTGATTCTTAGAAAAGGAAAGGGTAAGGATTATGGATGAAACTTAGAATTCAAAAGGCTCTATGATCTCATAATGAGGGTTGGAAGTTGAATATATTTATGATACTTATACTAATTGTGGCGGCCTCTGGGTCACATATAATATCCAGTTCCCAACACAAACTTCTTAGGCTCATATCCCTATCTTTCTCTCTCTGAATCTCGGGATACCAAGCGATCCAGGTACAGCTGGCACAACATGCAAATCAAAACGAGAAAATTAAATATGGGCCCACTCAGGGAGAGGCCGAGAGGGAGGGGGCATTAGGTGACTAGGGAGTCGCATATACGTACAAGTACCTCTAGTTTTCAACATGTGGCAAGCTAGAGGTCCATAATTGAAATAGCCATGTGCATTTTTCACAAAATCATAAAGGTGACACATTTAATATACTGAAACATAACACTCAAAAAAAAAAGAATATAGGTGTACCGACAGGTGGCGAAGGGGACTACTACAACCTATCAAAGATAGTAAAAGGATATTAAAATAATGTCCAAATATTGCAAGAGAGAAATGAAACTGCAACCTGAACTCCACAAAAGTAAAACACACAATACAAAATCGAACACTGTCATGCGAGATGATGCATCATTTATACCAACCAAAAAATTCAGCAATATAATGTAAAATAGAAGCATGAGTTCATCTTTCAAGATACAGCATCATCAAAGTGGCTGGTACGGCCATAATAAATTAACAAGATATAACATCATTTAGAAGTTGTCGTTGAGCATTGAGGGAGAAACTTTCAAGATATAAAATAACTACCGGTTCCTCGCGAAGGTTAATCCAAAGTACACGAATGCGCTCCCCGTTGATGTCAGCACCAATGTACTTGAGAACATTGCGAATTCCATCAATAGTCGGAATAGCAACACCGTGGACAGGCAACGAACTTGCCTAACAAAGAGAGTTGCTATGAGCGGTTTTTTTTTTTTTTCAGAAAATATACAAAAATAAAACTCTAAACATGGAGTGCAGTCTCGATGATGTGAAGGTATATTTTGAACACCATATAAACAAAAGTAACATTAGTATACAACCGTAGGTTTCTAAGCACTGGGAGGAGCCAGGGTTGTGGCGCCATGCTTGTTACAGAATGAGCCAGCTACCAACTATGAGGTGATAGGTAGGGAAAAAAGAGGAGAGAATGAAAAGTGACATGATAAGTTGCAGAGAAAGCAAAGGTAAGAGACTAAGGAAATAATAATACCTTGCGGTAATTGGGAGCACCGTCAACATGAGGGAGCAGGTTTTTGTTGTGGCAGCCAGGGAAATGGTCGCTCTTGAGAATGGTCTTCTTACCCAGCACCGATCCGTCTCTCTGTCTTACCACTTGCTCCGGTTCCTTGGGTATCGACATGCGCACCATCGATCAAATTCTTTTCTCCGATTACAACAAAACTCACCACCAAAGACTTTAATCAATAATAAGAGTTGGGATTGTGAATCAAAAGGGGGGCGAAATCATCCAATTTTCCCTACCTACCTACCGACCTACCTAATATTAATGGCAAATTTCAGCAACGAGAATTCGTTCATTCACATAAGAACAGGGGGGAAATGCATATGAGAGCGTCAATTATCTATTGGTCTTTCAGCGTCGGAGTTGAAAGTAGAATAAACAAAGGTGTCGCCGTCTGCTACATCAGCTGCAAGACATATATATGTGTGTGTGTGCGCGTGTGTGTGTTTCAACCGTGTGGGCTGCTATTGCTAATTACTGTATGACTTTGTGGCTCTGCACAACGCCAGTTGCGCCACAAAAACTCTCACTCGCTTCTTTAACAAAGGGAATATGCTCTTCTTTTACTTCTCTGTCTCTTGAGTCTCGCCTATTTTTTATTTATTTTTCCTTTCTGATTTATTATTACACTTTTTTTAATATTTATTTATTGCGTTTACCTTTTTAGGATACCACTAAAAATTTCTTATTCTATATTTATTTTGAAAATCTTGACTCGGGCAATTTGATTCTAGACTTCCGTAAATTGAATATTATATTATTTTGAAAATTTTGACCCATGTGAAATTCGATTCTTGACTTACAATAATCTGAATTATTAGATTATATTGTTTGATAATTTTCCATATTATATTATTTTGAAAATGTAATTTGTATATTTCCTAAATATATTCTACTATTAATACCCCTTTAGTAAAACAAAATCCCTTTGAGATCGTCAAGTAATTGTTTATGAATCTCTCCTTTTATATAAGTTAGGATTATCTCTATTAGGATCACATGAGAATGAGATATAATGAAAGAACTAAGAATAATTTTGTATCATTGGATCAACCAAGACAAAAGTCATTATTAAATTAAATTTTAATATATGATAGTCAAATATACAGAGACAACTGCGTAAATAAGTAAACATATCGTGGTCAAGTATATATATTGGCCACTTTTATTAAAGTTAAATTCAACATTATCCACAATTCACACACACCCACCCGCTCAGTGCAACCAACTCATCGTACCATCTCTCATACACAAACACACACTTCATGCACACACACAATCACCAGCCCCACTGCCCGCCGCCGCCACAACCCGTCTACTAGTTGCATGAGCATTTTTCGCATGACACAAATGGCTTACGAAAAAGAAGAATCGTTGTATTAACAATAGATTGTGATTTTTTGTTAAATTTCTTTTACTAGGTGTTTATCATTTATGCCTTTATTATTGTCTTAATATTGAATAGTATGCTATCTATAAATAGTGTGGGAGAAACATAACAAAATCGTTGTATATTTGATCTATTTATTTCGTAATATTAACTAAAAATATCACAAATAACAATCACACAGGATCATTATTACCAGCTGAAACAATCATTGCAAACGTGATTATGATGTGAAGTGAGATATTTGTGTATCACAACAAACCACTCGACATTTTCCATAATCTTCATTTATTTTTATTTAATTTCTAATTAAAATTATTTTTGAATTAATATGATTTTCTAAACTAGGTTAATACACAAATGACCTGATCACAAAATCATTAGTACAATAATTCCAAAACATAATCAAACCCCGATGGCATTATGAGTTACTGTGTGATATTTATCGACATTGCCAACATAGATTTTAAACCAATAACATTGTGCACAAAAACAGATTTCGTAATCTGTTATTTTTCTATAGTTTTATTATTACATATGTGGACCAAATATTGTTGTACTATAGTTTTTATTATTGTATTATAAATTGTTTTTGTTTAATTTCTAAATACAATTCCGATCTTACATTTTATTCAAGCACCTCACATTCATTTTTTCATATTCAGCGCGGACAATGTTGATCATCATCTGCAAATTATGAACGAATCGAAGGGAGTAATTCCTAATGCTCGTTTTCCAAATATAAAAATTACCTTATTATACAAAAGAACCTTCCCACGTTTAAAACGCCAAGAACGGTTCATTTAGGGTCGAAACAGAACTACATGCACGATACAGAAATTACAATCCGAATACAAACTATACCCAAGGTGCCCTGGAAATATTAGTATCATATGGCAGTTAACACAATAGAAGATGAACATTTCAATGCTTCATGCATAGTTCAATCACGTGGGCTCGTATGATGTTCAAGTCTCAGGCTGAGGTATCAAGTGATGCATCCACATGGCCATACTTGGAAATTAAGTTCCTTGATGAAGGTAACCCTGCAACTACATCTTCTTCAATGCCACATTCATTTGTTCCTCTTCTGATCATGAAGTACCCATCCTGCAAACAAATAACAGCTTCATCAACATTCTAATTCAATCATTGCAGTCAACATCAGAATTAAGAAGCAGCAACTAGCAGCAGAAACAAGATACTGCCATCATTTTTGGGTACGAATTAATGGTTCCTTCCAAAATAGTTCCCACGCGTTTCCTTAAACTAGAATGCAAATATCCTAAAGTTGTATCATTTTATATGTAGTGGATAAAGTCCGCAATTCTGCACAAGTGATATTCTAAAGATCTCAAGGAAGAGTTCAACAGAGCACGCACATCACCCCAGCTTTTATTCCATTGATTTGCTAAAAGCTGCATCAAAAAAGTCAATCGTAAGTACGGAATCCAACAGAAAATTAACAAACGGATTGAATCTTCAAGATTTGAAGCCATTAAGTACCCAATAGTCCTCCCCTTCTTCGGTAGTTCCCCACCCTATCAGCTTAACTGCATGACCTCCCATCTGATCCCCTGTCAAGTGTTTATAAACTCCTGATTTGTAGTGAGCAAAATCCTGCAAAAAATTTGGAACCATGGATCAACCACAAGGGTTTCAAGGATTAAATAAAACAATATTGCTCGGGTCTGACATGCAATCTTAAAAGGAGGTCTTATATCTTAGAAGCAAGCTGGCACATAAAGACAACATCCAAACTGTAACATAACTCCATGAGAATCAAGATACAAATCCAATCAATTCACTTAAAGTTTATAACAGTTCAGTAAAAAAAAAAANATTAACCAAAAAAAAAAAAAAAAAAAAAAAAAAAGAGTAAGTTATGTTCTTTACCTCATACACGGTGAATGAGACCTCTACTGGTCCATTTAAGAAAATTTCAGCCATTATATTGTATGGATCAGAACTGATTTTATATGCATTGACACTGAAGTGCTTAGATTTCCGCCAGAAAAGGTTTTGTTTTTTGCATCTCTTCTCACACTTGGGAGTTGGATACGCAGGCTCGCAACCAGGATGTGAGCATCCACTATTGTCGAAGTAGGGATCACACTGTCAAAGAAAAATTTCATCAAAGTGTTTCATACACACATAAGTTCTATGACAGACTCATAATGGTCAACAGGCAGAGTGAAGCATCTCTACATTAGCCTAATGACTTAAATATTCATAATTTTATGATCTGGCATCTCCATATATTCTGACAGTAATATGAAACTTATTTCTCACAGTAGACAATGCTACCTCTTCAGTCACAACACCAGTATGGACAAAGTATCTCCATGCTGATATGGGGTACCCTCCATCACAGCCATCACCACACATAAAGCCGCAACATGCTAAGAGATCATTGACAGAGAGGGAAATGTTCTACAAAATAGAGAACCGGCACAATGATAAATTTATCGTTATGATTATCATAAGAAATTGCCCACAAATGGAGATTCGAGGTTCATCAACATTACCAAGTCGAAATGAATACAGAAGCGGTCAGAGAGTGCCTCAACTGCACCAAAAGCCCAACAGGAACCGCAGTGGCCCTAACAATTCATAAGTAAAAGGGTTTGGCAAGAATCTTGGAGTACCATTTGAAAATAAAGAAAACATGTCTGGGAATCAAGGTACCTGATCTTTGAATTTCAAACAACCCAAATCAGATGGAGAAGGGAAATAGTTAGAATATCTGTGATTATGAAACATAAGCTGATAACAACAAACGCAACTGACCAAGAATTTCCCTGATTGTCCTACACTGAGGCCAAGCAACTCGTGCATCAAACGTTTTTGGCAGCTTCAGACCTTCTTCATGAGCAATAACAGGAATTCCCCTCACATCACCTTCTGACATGGTTTTGACTCCGAGAAGGTGCATAAATTGGCCAACCTGGGTTCAGATTGTTAGGAGAAAGTTAGTTATTTTATGGCGAGCATAAAGGTGACCAATTCTATGCAGAAAACAGGAACAACAAACTCACTGTATAGTTGGAAAATCGAGGGTTCATAGAAGCTTCCCATCCAGCTTCAGCATTACCATTAACTGATTTAACGATGGACTCCTGCATCACACTTGCAGTTTAGCCTGACTATACGCATCAATGTTTCTATTAATATTTGTACCAAAGTACCTGAAGAATTTGACTGCCGAGTTTCAGCCTTAGATCAGGGTTCCCAGCATTGACCTGCAAAGAATTTTGAAGAAACCATAAATCAAGTGGATATGTATGCGTACTCATAAAAAACGCATGAGTTCTGGTGACGTCAAACATCTCTCACAATGCTATCAAAGGGCTGAAATTAAGGAAATGGGAGAACTCATAACGAGCATCATTATAAGCAGCAAGATCTATCTAACAGCTTTCCTTTAAGGCTGTAATTTCAGTGAGAGACATAACAACAGGCATGATCATCTGGCTCAGAAAGAGATTGAAGTTGAAAAATTCATAATATCTGGGAAGCCATTGAGGACTTATAGAGGATATGCGGTAATCCAATTAACACGACAGCAAAAAGCATAATAACTCAGCGAAGTTCTTATTGCCTGATATGCTGCTAGTATAATAACAGCCTCCTTCCCTAAAGTTAAACTTGATTTCTCACTCTACCCAAATAAAATAATTGAATAAAAACTCTACACAAATGAAATAATTGAAAATGAACATAAGAAAAGGCAAGATAGAATCAAGATAATAAGCAATCGAAGGTTCATTACCAGTTGCTGAGGCTCTAAAAGTAGAAGGATGATGATGAAGCAGCAAAATACCCCAGCTGCCATAGTTTACTCCCCTCCAAAAGTCACAATCAAGACTCGTATATTAATGTAGTAAACTCTGGTTTGGGAACTTCAATCTTCCTATCAGAAGAGAAAGCAGACTTAGAAGACTCCAAGGTATTTGCCGAGATTGGTGACGATCGAAAACCCCACGGACCGAGCTAGGGCTTGCTGATCGGAAGGAGTATTGGCCCGGCTACTAAAACATATCTTTTTATCCAATCCCAATGTCAATTATTAGGAACATTTCAAACCGTTGGATCGTGTGGATGTGTTTTTTAGATCTAACAATCCAATAAATTAATTATTGGGGAAATGATAAGTATTTTTAAGAAAAAATAAAATAAGGAAAAACAACTTTTGACCAAGTATCTCCCTCATTCTTTCATCTATCTATACTAAACTATACAGAGCCCGTGCAATACACGGGATGCACAATTTTAAGGCTATTTATCGAGGCTTATAATTATATACATGAATAAAGAAAAATGTACGGAATATATATAGTACGTAGCCCGTGCGAAGCACGAGATATATTTATTTGGAGAATATTATATTATAAGATGCAATATTCAATAAAAGTTTATAATACGCAAGAAAATTGTACAATGTTCAATAAAAATTTTATAATATTCAAATGGAGTCTTAAAGTCTCTTGTACATTAAGACTACTGACAAAATAATATTTTAATCAATGAGTTTCCTTTCCTTGTAGTCAAATTGTGAATGTGATTTGAGGAGTACAACAAATCGATATATAGCTGACTTCCTTTTTTCATTGTAGTTTTTTTTTCTTTTTTTTTTATAATGAATTTAAAGATATTCTAAAATATAGCAAAAATTATTTTTTTTATTACAATTAGGAATTTTACTAAATATAGACTTTCAATCTATGGTGTTAATCAACGTTTAAGTCTAAAAAATTAGAAATTTTTACCTCTTTTAATCAACGTTTAAGTCTAAAAAACAATAGAATTATTATAAAAAAAATTTCTACATCTTTTAAAACATTAAATATGAACATGTTAGGGCTAGCTTGTAAAATAATTAATATATTATCTCACTAAAACATTTATACTAATAAAAATTTAATTTTAGCATATAAATTTATCCCTTGATATAAGTAACAGTTTTACTTATTGTTCAACATATAATATTTAATTATTATTTTATTATATAATAAAAAAGGAATATTGTTAAATAGTGTAGTAGAATTGTTATAAAATTATATGATTTTTTTTTTACAATATGGATTTAACAATCAAAGCTCCTGTTTTTTAAAGTCTTCAACCACAAGAAACCTAGCCCACCCTTCCTACAACAATCATCAAACAAAGTTCTCCTCTCATCACAATCACCATTAAAATGGGTATCACCTTCATCTTTTCCTCCCTCATCGTGTTTTTCCTCTCATCCGCAACTCTACATGCCTCAAAGCCCAATACTCAATAAATCAAATCAGCCCAAATCCAGAACAACATCATAGCAAACTACACACTCAAATCGTACGCGGCCAACTCCACCAAGACAGGGGAGCTGCAAACCATCCATCTCCCTGAAACCTCTCGGGCATAGAAGTCGACATCATAAAGCTAAGGTGTGGAAGTCTACAGAAGTACGGCTCCAAAATCAAGGAATTGAACTTGGGTAATGGCGTGATGGCCCGTCCCTGCACCGAACGGGTCATCCTCATCCGCCAAAGTCTCGGGCCCAAATGGACATCCGTTTATTACAACAACAACAGCAGCTACCAGTCATTTCTCCTGTCTTAGATCTCTCAACTTACAGCCTCGTCAAAGGCGAGAGAACTTTAACGCAATCCCCCGAGCTCAAAATACAGGCTGGAACTTTAACGCAATCCTGCCCGAGCTCGAAATACAGGCTGGCACGAACCTGATCACAATCGACTCAGGTTCGTTGAAGTACCGAAGTTAAGAAGTTATACAAAAACATTTTATAGCAACTTAAGTTCTCCCTCGTCAGGGATTGTCAAGATTAATTAAGCAATAATCCCATCAATTAAAGGAATCGAACCATTTAAAAACCCCATTACAACTCAACAAAAGAAAAAACGCTTAACAGGACATTCGCTTATATATTGATTAATAATTAAAAATATTAGTATTGGGTATTAAATTACAAATTTGACATTACAAAGACAAATTAATGTTATTTCCGAGATATTATATTTTTACAGATTCATTGGCACTTTTATAATAGAATATAGATATAGGATAGATATAGATAGATATAGATATAGAATAGATATAGATAGATAGATTATAAGGTAACCACGCACACTCCTTGTCTTAATCGTGCCGGGATCTGCACCGTGATAAAACCTGCAGTACCTAACCATAATTTATCATGTCCCATGGGTTGTTTGGATCCTCGTTACAAATATAAAATTCACAACTCAAAGTCTTTAAGTATGAGCTTTCCAAAAACGAATATATTCAAGATTCATCAGATGAAAACCAGAATTTTAATCTGCAATTCGTTGAAACTTGACATTTCCTTCATCCAATACAGCCAAATGCTTTCGCTTGTTGGATAACTTGGGTGAGTCCGAGAACTGGGCTGCTGTTCTTGCTCTTAACTCCTCTAAGCTGTCACCTTCTTTGGCTCTCTCCAAAACCTGTAAAATGTTCGGTAAGTAAGTTATATCAGAGCTCGTACAACCATGAAATTTTGGTTTCACAACAAAGCCCTACATACCAAGTGACGGCCATAGAGATGGGTGTTTGAAAGAGCTTCCAAGGCATTCCGGGCTTCTTGCTTGGTGACATATTCTACGAATGCAAAACCTCTGTGGTTGCCAAACTTCATCGGCAACCTTAAACTCTTTATCTGCAGAGGAAAAGCAAAAATTAATGGAAGAATTGAAATATGTGTTGCAACTCGGAAGTAGGAACATGCGAATTATAAATCTTTACAAATGCCATTCGGAATAAAGTTCACAATCTGAATAGAAGGATGAGCTTTATACCTGACCAAATGGACTGAACAATTGCCTCAGATCCTTTTCTGTTGCTTCAAATGCTACGTTCCTAACTATCAATTTGGTTGAACTCCTGTCATTTTCAAATTTCTTAGGCAAAACTTCATCCTTTTTAGCATGACAACGTTGCAATATGAGGGCGTGCCCATCAAGAACAGTTCCCTGCAGGTCCTTGCACACATTCACTGCAGTATCAACACTATCAAACTCTACAAAACCAAATCCCATTGAAACACTTTTGCCATTTTTCATATGCTTCTTCACCTATGACAGAAAAACTGAAAATATTAATAAACCAGATAGAGAGTATAGCAGGTATTAATAGTGCAGATAAGATAAGAGAGATGAGCAAAATACCCTGACACTTAGAAGTTTTCCTCCCTTCATGTGCTCAGTAAAATGCATTTTCACACTTTCATCAGATGTTCTGAAGTTCAGATTCTTGACATATAACGAACGTGACTGTACAGAGAATAAATAAGGTCACAGGTAAATGCAGTCCACGAGCCCAGACACAAGCTAACGTGTAAGAAAATAACATAATGGAGCCAAACTGTACCTCAATTCTATCAGGGTCAACATCTGCATCTGTTATATCCTCAACTTGCTGATCTAGGAAAGCTCTCTTGACATCAAGTTCACCAACAACTTCATTGTTACCGACAGTTAAAGTTTGACTCAGAATATTACCAGGTGCCCATTCCAAATACAGCGGAGCATCCCTGTAGGAATAAAAGACAATCAATCTACTCCAGGTGAAAAAAGAAAAATGAACTAGCAACTACTGATTAGCAAAACAAGAATTAAGGTGAATACATAATTTAATTTTTAAACAATACACAAATTTTTTAGTATCCAATAAGATGTTTCAAGAAAAGGAGCAAAATTCTCACGCAACTTCAATTTCATATCTTTATTCCACAATCATAACAATCTTTATTCTAATTTATCTTTGAAATGTACATGATGGGATGCAATTAAATCTCGAAAAGCCATCAAACACACAACGTGACCATAAAATACATATAAGTAGTAATTGATAGAGTATTCCTAAAATGCCTAGCAACTTATATGGCCCATGACTAATATATAGCTACATAAATTCCTTCAGGATAACCATAAAATAAAATATTGCATTCTTGAACAAAATACTTATTAATTTCAAATGACTACATGAACTTACTTGTACCGCTTGTATGATAGACCTCTGAAAGCTGCACGAGCTTCAGCAGGTTCCAGAAATATAACCTATGAACCAGATTTTAATATGATTACCTAATTAAGATATATATACAATCAAAGGCCAGGGGTTTAGCAAACTTCAATTACACTTATACCATGGATATGTGCTCAATTGCACTGATTAGACAAAAAACACTTAAGACGTAAGCCAAGGAGTAAACCATTGGCCGACCTTGTTGCACAAAGCAAATCTGAATGTCTCACGTAAACCACAGTTCAAGTTTATTCACTATATATCATGCAGACTCAAAAGCGAAGGTCAAAATCAGTAAGGCAATACAAAAAACTCGACCACTCAGAGGACAATGATATGCAGATTGAATTCTGACCCCAATGCCATATAGTTTTAGATACAATAAAGGCAATATTATCAATGGCGGATGGTGGAAAATGGCCGCAGGCTGAAATCTCGCCAAGGTGGCCAGTGGCTCCGCCACAACAGTTTTACTTAAAAAATTGCTCATGGAAGTTCGGAATAAGTCTGCGACGGCCATAATTTGCAAAAACTGAATATAGGAGCATATGAATTAAGGAGCCTCAAATGAACATATTCTTCTTGAACAGAGCAATTAAGAATTCTTTAACAAAGGAACAATCACTACTATAACCTTGACTAGATAACGAAAAGTAAAAAAATTAATTGAGAGAATATGGCGTTCTCGCAGGAAAAACCATAGGAACCTGAAAAAAAAAGGAAGCACATACCACAGCAAGGGTTTTAGTAGGAGGCAAAATGATTTTGTCCAAGCCGCCAAATTTCCCGAACATATCTGATAATTCACCTTCAGATGAACCGTACGGCAAATTCTTCACTAATATAACATGGTTGCTTCTTTTCAGACCATCAGTTTTACCAGTGGCAAACTCCTCTAATGAGGAGACATTAACGCCAGCACTGGCCAGAGCTTTTTTTGTCTCAGCAATCACTTGAGTCTCCCCCAATGCAATTCTCACAGCAAGGTCATCAGATTCTCTATCTAGTAGCTCACTTTTACTGACACCAAATTTTCGTGCAATATTTTCTACAACCTGGATTTTAGAAATCAGAAGATTAGATCAGAATACATAACATTAGCCAAAAAAAAATGCAGTTCTCAAACATGCAGTCATCTTATTAGTCCAAGAGCTCAAAGATGAGCGTTAATCAGGCTGGAATTTTCAGAAACATCTGTAGCTAATTATAGTGAATTAACCATTTTACGCTCCAGTTAGACACTGTTACATAATAGGTGAATAAAAGGTGAAGAGGTATTTTAATTAATTAGAGAATACGAAGGAGGATCAGGAGTGGGGGGATATTCTCTTTTCTTACATTACACTTAACAGATATTCTTAAATAAATCATCTCAAAAAGGGAGCTTTGTAGAAGAAGCAATTATCATGGCTTACATCTGCTCCACTAGAAGCTTTTCTACAATAAATTAAAATTTACCCAGCTCCATCAGACATGCATGCAGGCACTTACTGGCTAGATGCCTGGACTCAGATTCTAACTTACAGTATCAGGGCGCATAAATAAAGTATTCCACGATCGTGTATTTCCAGTTGCTTCTGATGCCTTTCTTTCTGCATCTCTCTGTTGCTTAAACGTTTTTGATGAAATATTGGTCCTGACAGAGAACCAACAATATTAACATGCACAGAGAGCTCTCAAATTGGAAGAAGCAAAACTTAAGAATCTTTAACCAAAATCATACTCTGGCATATCAGGTAGCCTTTTTTGTTTAGCAGGCATTACATGCAATAACCTTCCCTGAAAAATCGAACTATCTATCTCTTCTAAAGCCCTGCGTAAACATGGTACAGAACAATATTGGTGAGAAGGACGATAACTGATGTACACATTCATCAATCCAAATGTTGAAGAATGTAGATAAATATAAAGATAATAAGAATGAACCCCAACATCAGGGAAAACTGTAGCTAGAAAATAGCATTAAACTAAAATATGTTAATTAAATACGACATAGGATGCACAAACTGGAACAAAATTCCTGAAAACAAATACACACACAAGAATAATAGTGCGTAGACTTATGTGCCACAAACAACAACCAACTCAGCACAAATAGCAACAATTATATTTGGGTAGAGTTATGAAAGCGATAAATGGAAAAAGAAATGTGTCTTTCACTTTGGTACACAGATAAACATTTAAAGTGAACTACTTTTTACCGAAATGCTTGTTGCTGTACATATAACATAACTGCTTCTCAAGCAAAGTGTGCATGGTGCAACTAGGTTTTGATATAGCTAGATGATAATTATTACCTAGCAGCACATTCTGGGACAGCAAAGAGAACATAGGCAATCCCTTTGGAGCGCCTAGTCTCTCTATCAACGACAATATGGACCTGAGAAATGGTTCCGTATTTGCTGAAGAGGTCTTCTAGGTCCTCCTCACTGTAAATAACAGCAATTATAACTCAATACATGAACTGGATTCAAGAAAAAAAGGGTAGAACATGCATGGAACTGATGCGGCAGTATATGTATATACACGTGCTTCTATTAACACTAGTCAAGGGGGAAGCGCCAGGGGAAGGGAAGGATAATGTTGTGACATTGTACATACGTGGCAGAGTAGGGAAGATTGCGAATGAAGAGACGTCCAGATTCCAGAACTACATCATTCTCGTTTCCAGAACTTGCCATAGCATCAGGGGGGCCATTATTCCCATCTTCTCTAGAGCCATCGTCTTCAGTCTTCCCTTCAGAAACAATAGGCACATCCTCACCAGGTTCAAGTGTCTCCCTAACATGATCATAGTTGCTCTTGTTCTGAGAATCACTGTTGTCATCATTATCATCACTATCACTATGATCAGAGCCATCAGCGCTACCACCATCGTCGCTACTTTCTGAATCTGACCATTTCTTTTTAATCCGACTCCTAAAATAATCTATGTCAGACACAACCTCATCATGAACCAGAATGTTTGGTTTATCTGCCTCTTGTTTCTCTGGTAAAACATTTCCTTCTCCCTTAAACTCATCAAGATTGCCAACCTCTCCATCTGAGTTCTCCTCACGTCTCTTTGCCCTCGCGAATTTCTCATTTGATGCTGATTTGCCTTGCACAAGAGATGGAGCAGCAAGTGTATCATTGGCCCACATTTTTGACTTGCTACGATGCTCCATAACTTGTAGAAACTCTTCAAGTTGAGGATCATTATTCTCATCATCCTTCTTCCTCTCCTTACTTTTCCCCTTGGAAACTGTTGAACCAGTTACTCCCTTCTCTGCTTTAGAAGAAGTCTCCTTTTTATTTAGTGAGTGTCGACTCCAAGGGCGAGGAATGGCAGGATCTCCAACTTTACGAGCAACCTGGCCCATAACATACAAAGGTTACTTCTTTATAGAGTTTATGACAGCATCACGTTAATAGTCTCCTCCAGTAACTCAGTGAAAGGTGAACATGACAGTTCTGATTAGTTCTATATCCCAATTTTATCATCATATTAATGTCCTACTCAAGTAATTCACAAATAAGAATCTTAAGAAGCAGAAGAATAAAGACGAGGAAAGCAGCAAGGAGAGAAAAACCTCACAAGTAATTCTGAAAGTGTCCATGTAAGTCCTGTTGAAGTACTTTATGGCTTCCTCGGCTTCATGCTCCGTCCTAAATCCCACAAACCCAAATTGCCTGCTCTTCCCCTCCCTGAACAACATTTCATAGTTAGTCTATTGAACAAAGTAGAGAAAAAAGGTAAAAAGAAAGAGATAATCACTTTGTGCGCATAAGCTTGGCATCGGTAACCTCTCCTTTCTCAGAGAAGAATTCTCTGAGGCGATCCTCTGCAACATACTTTGGCAGGTTTTTCACACATATACGAGACCTGTTGTAAAAACATTGCAGCCATCAAACGGAGCTTAATCATTCACCTGATTGAGCTGGAGGTGCAAGAGAAAAAGACTTACATGTTTGATTGGTCTGCTACTGCCAGCGACGGCGAGCTCGCCGAAAAAATACCGCCGCCGCTCGTCGTGAACTGAGGCTGGGTCTGCTCACTCGCCGATGGAGAAGGACGAGGGACGGGGCTTGCTGTTCGACTTCACCGGCGTGGTGCTGTTCGGCTGCTGTTGCCCGGAGCTCGCTGACCTCAGGTGGCTCGCGATAGACGGCGGTGAGAGGCTGCTATGGGTGCTCGATTCGCGAACAAAGGCTAATGTTTTGGGCGACTAATAAATCTCGAGAGATGAGAGTGCTCTGAATTTGCGAGTAGTGGTTGAGATTACGGGCGCTGTTCTGATCGATTTTCCCTGAGATTTTGGGCGAGATTAATCGAAGAAGAAAAGGGGGCTCTCCAATCTGCTAGGGTCGACTTCGAGAGAGAAGAAATATTGGGGCGGAATTCTAACGAAGATTGGGCCAAATTCTAACACAATTTGGGCCGAGACTTACTTGCTTTAGGCCGAGAAAAACCCCAACTTTGGGCTGAAAATTATAGCTAGAAGGCCAATATAATTGGATACATAAAAACGGCTAGCGACTGCTCAAAAATAAATAAACCGACTAAATATTGAATAGCTAAGATTCGAATAATTTAGGGTATGTTTGGTAAAATTAGCTGATAAGCTAGTTGATAGTTGATAAGCTAGTTTATAGCTTATCAATAATTTTTGAGCTTATAGCTTATAACTTTTGACTTATAGCTGAAAAGCTAGCTTATATGATAAAAGTGTTTGGTAAAATTAGCTGATAAGCTAGCTGAAATAAAAATTTCAACTAGCTTATTTGAAAAGCTACCCAAAGAAGCTTATCAAATAAGCTCGAACTTTTTAAAAAAACTCGTCCTACCAAACAGAGCTTATTTAAAAACAGAGAGCTTATAAGCTAATCAAATAAGCTATAAGCTAACTTATTGGTCTACCAAACATAGCCTTAAACAAACACTAACGTCTAAATAAGTTACTTCTCTAACAAATTAGTTAGACACTAACGTCTAATTAATTTTGAAAAAATTTGTCGAGCTCATAAAATAAAATACAATAAAATGAATAATAAAATGAGATGTCTCTATATTCGATTGGGGCGATACAAAAAATCTGGGTCAAACCTTTGACTTACCAATTTTAGAAATTGTTTAAAATTTAATTGGAACATGTCTTACTGGTGTGAAAATGATTTGTGGCAATTTAAAATTCTTTTTGGTATTACTTGGGATTCAAATCGCACAAAATTAATTCAATTACGGCTAACTTTTTTATTACAACTGAGTTGATTTACAAATTTAAAATCACTTACTATTTTTAATGTTATCATAATGTTGTTTTTAATCTGATCTAAATTTTTAAATTTTTTTTCAAAATGTAATTAAAATAAATCGCACATAATAAATTTTGATTATCTCATGCCTAAAAAATATTACAAAATGTAACATAAATTCAACCAATAAGAAAATCTTTGTATTTCCTGAAAATAAAAACGAAAGTCATTAGTTGGATAAATACATTTTAAAAGTAAATTACAAAAACAAAAAAGTAATTAGCTAAACATTTAAAGGTAACAAACATAACCAATTAGAGCAAATATCAAAATTTGAAAGAGATTCAATATCACATAACTTTACTTATCCGATTCTTTGTGGTAAATTAATTGAAACAAACAGATGAGCCTCGATTCGACATATTTTACCTAATATTTATGAAATATACAATTTTAAAACTAGTGTATATCCCCTGTGATGCACGGAGGAGCTCATATTTTTAACTTTTTATTATACTTTATTTTAAATATAATTCTTTATAATTTTCACATCTCATTTATTATGGAAATAAAATAAATACAAACAATGAAAAATATATATTATTAAACAATTCTCTTTATACAATATTTTTTATTTAAGGAATATTATTAAACCTTACGATTTTGATTTATTTTTTTTTTTTAAATCAATTACCCAATATATGATTGTTAATGTACAAAAAATAATGGAAATAATCCAGACTTTAAAGTAAAGCTATTTTTTATTTTTTTACAAATCAAAATCATCCAATTTTTTTTTTTAATTTCAAAAAAATTTGGCAAGTTTGTTCATGAGATAAATCAAGTTATACAAATGATTAATTAGTTAAATATTATATAAATTATATTTTAAGAAATCAAATTATATAATGTGGATAAAAAATATTATACTAATTAGTTTATTAGGAATCTGATCATATGGAAGTTAAGAAAAAATTTATATCTAAGTCTATATAAAGAGTCATCCTATTTACTAAAATTAGTAGCAAGAAAAGTCAAAGGACAATTAATGCATTCTATTTTTATCAATTTTTTCAGCTGTATTATTATTTTATTACTAAAAAACCTGTTTGCATTAATTCATCCTTAATTGATGTGTTTTGCAATAAAATCGGACAGATAGATTTCAAGTAAAATATGTATCATTTCAAATTCAAATTTAAATATTAAAATTTCTTATCATTTTGTTTCATTAAAATCCTGAATGAATTGTTTGCCATAAAATCGAACAAAATAATAATTGCATAGAATTCAAGTAAAAACATGTCTTATTTAAAATTTAAATTTTAAAATTCCTTATCATTTTGTTACATTTCCGAATGATTTATTTCCCATAACATCGGACGAAATTAATAATTGTATAAAATTCAATTATGATTTCAAAGATGTTTATTTATTATAAAAAAATTAAATTCTAAAAAAACATTTGTGTATATTTTGTAAAATATTTGTACAAAATGTTTTACTTTAAATTTATTCACATAATTTAAATTAATTACATTAATAAATAATATGAACACACATTAAATATTTTAATTACATAAAACAAAAAGAAAAAGAAGACTACATCTGTAACTTGTATAAATAATAATAATGACATTATATTACAATAAATTTTATAATAAAATAATATGAGTATTATACGAGGAACAAGATTACGTAAATTTGTTATTTTCTTATATCAAGGAATAAATATATATAATGAAATCAAATTTATATTATTATAAACATGTGAACGATATAATAAATTAATTAATTTACGGGCTAGCGCTACTAGACTCGGGTTTAATGTTCCGAAAAAAAAATGACGTTGATGAAAAGATGTAAAAAGATAGATGATCAAACTCTAATACTTTTTAGGCGTGAACGGACAAGCCTATGGTCCACTCATTTAATATCTCCCATTTAAGTACTTGGACAACTCTGTGGAAATGACTCATTTAATACTTCTGTCTCGTGCATCGCACGGGCTACGTACTAGTAAAATGTAACCAAAAAATCTGTTCATGATCTTTTCCTTTAAATGTTTGAATTCAAAATTCTAATAACCAAATTTAGATTATACCACATAAGAAAAAAATAAATAATAATGTTTATGAATATACAAAATGATGGGATTTAAGGCTTAAATTTCAGTGCAGAATGGTGAGTCTATTGGCTTAAATTTCAGTTCTGAAGATACAAAAAGAAAAGCATGTTTTGTTGTTTCAGTTTCAATTTGTTGTGAACCGGTTGAGAACTGTTGACTGTGTTAAGGTGCTGCAAATGTGCTAAATTTTAAAAGATATTGGATCTCAGTTTCAATTTTGCTCCCACTGCTTTACTTTTAAATAGAGATATAGGGTTCAATGAATTAAGTTCTAACCTTTATCTTGTTTGAATGTGTCATATGCACTTGTGTGTTGTCTTTTGAACTTGTCATATGAGTTGTGTTGCTGCACTTTCTTGAATATGTTAGGCTGTGGTGTGTACTTCCTTTGTTTAAGTTTTGTTTATTACTGATACGAGCACCAACATCATGAACTGCATTTGAATTCACAAAGATCATTTGAATATGCCTCTGAAATGGAACCTGTAGGTACTTTGCAAAGTATTGTATTCTGTGCAAATGTGCTTATTGTGGTTAAAATTCTGATTTACTGGGAGAGATAGCTTCAGATTTGAAGCATCCTTTAACTTGTGTTATTTGTTAGGTTGCAAGATGTGTTAACATGAACACCAACACTTAAGTGTGTTGTTTGTTTGGCTGAAAGGTTTGAAAGGCTGAAAATTTGTTGTGTTTTTGTAGCTTAAGAAGCATGTTCAAGTGTGTTATTTGTTATGCTGAAATAGTTTATTAGGCTGAAATAGGTGTTCAACCTTTTGCTTTGTGAGGATGAAAGTGTGTTATTTATGTGTATATTTAGGTGCCAGAGCCTTTTGATTTTTGTGCTGAAAACATGTGTTTTGATCTCCCAAATTAAGATAAACATGTGCTGAAAACATTTGTGTGCTGAAAACATGTGAATTGTGTGCCATAACATTTGTTTTTAAGTGCTGAAAACATGTGTTATTTATGAGTACATTTATCATTGGAATTTTCTTACATGTTATTTATGAGTACATTTAAGGAGTACATTTTATAAATATTTTCCTGTGCAGTGTCACCTTATTTCTGTTTTAAAAAATGAAAATTGAAAAGAAAGGTGCTATCAGTCCAATAATATGGCAATGTGATAGCTGCTAGTTTTTTATTATTTGCAACATGTAATTTTATTATGAGGTATGTCTACTTATATATATGCCCACCAATGCTATTATATCAGTCCAATATGGAAATTGATGAGCCATCAATCATTAAAACTATGGCCTTATTAATACGGTGTAATGAAAGACATTTTTTTCTTTGTGTTAGGCTGAAAATGTTGAAAATGTGTTCAACCTTTTTCTTTGTGAGGCTGAAAGTATGTTGTTTAATAAGCTATATTTAGGTGTGTATACTTAGGTTGCAGTATGCAGCAATTCTATGCGTATACCTAGGTTCAGCTACTTAGGTTGCAGTGTGCTGCTATTATATGTGATTAAAGAGCCTTTTGGAGGCTGCTATTATATGTGATTTGTGAGCTGAAAACATGTGTTTTTATTGTATTCAAATGCAGTTGTAAGTGAAAAATTGTTGTTCCAAGCCATGGTAATTGCTGTTTTTTTGTTACCTATATGATCCATTTAAGATGTCTATAAACCTTTTTTCAAAGGCCCAATATTTGAGAAAATTTACAACAGGAGCTTGTTCTGTGGGGTATTATGGATTGTTTTCTTTGAACCTAGAGTTATTACTATGTTTTTCAGCTCAACTAACAGGTTTGATGTTGATGTGTTCAGAAGTTAGATTATTAGATCCTAGATTTGTTCATGGTCAGAATTGTGTGGGAATTCAATAAGTA